AAGCCAAGCTGTGGAAGAACTGGTATTTTTGTTAAGGAGACAAGCAAACAAGAGGAGTGTTTCATAAATGCAGAATATGGCAACTAGTGGTAGGAGTCATTTCACTCGTAGTCAAATGTTGCAATATCTGAAAAAAATCAAGTTTCCATTTCTTTTTTTTTCTCTCTCTTTTTGGTGTGTGAGATTTTTTTTTGTTTCCTTGGGTTGAGTGGCTTTTTCCTTCCTTGGTTGTATTCTCTCTCCTTTTCACTGGACGTGCAGTGACTCTTCACACAGTTCACAACTTGCTTTTGTCCTCTCTTTCCTCTCTTAATTTTACAAATGTGGGGAACAGTCCATCTTCTCTCCCCCCAGTACCGGCCCACGACAACAAACTGTCCATTTTCTGTTGGTTTTCCATTCTGTCATTAATCCATCACTAAAGTGAGAAATGTGGAATATAGAGAGAGATCAGAGGATCCACGTGACACATCACAAACTTTGGGCCACTGAAGGCAGTTAGTATTTTCCAAGATAGTATTTTCCAAGGGTTGTTTTATCAAGCATGTTGCTTGTAGTCGTGGCTTGACTTTTCTTTGTTATTGTGTATTAAGTTGACAGCTTTTTCATATATTATTGTCAATAAATGCTACTATTTCACTGAGGGGTTCTTTATATATTTTCCTTTGAGCACTATAGTTTCCTCCTCCCCAAAATGTCTCTGATAGCTGTGGGAAGTGTTCCTGCCTATGCAGAGGAGTTCAAACTAGATGATCTTTAAGGTCCCTTCCAATTCAAACCTTTCTATGATTCTATGATTTAAATTGGACTTCTCTGTTTGAACTACAACACTATACTCTGAAGCATTGTTAATAAGCTTTCCGGTGCAGTAGTTCTTTGATTTCCTTATTTCAGCTAATATAACAGTTTAATTTTTTCAGCCTAGAGGTAGAAATACTGTACTGCTGGTAACAGCTACTGTACAAAGCAGATAAGGTAAAATTTTGTATATATTGAAAAATGTTGATTGTTCTTGACTCATTTTGAGCTGCTACAGTGTTGTACTTTTCACTCTTTAATCATAGAATAATAGAACTATTCAGGTTGGAAAAGACCCTTGGGATCACCAAGTCCAACCATCATCCCTGCTCTACAGAGTTCTCCCCTGAACCATATCCACCAACACCACATCCAAACAGCCCTTAAACACATCCAGGGATGGTGACTCAACCCCCTCCCTGGGCAGCATATTCCAGTGTCTGACCACTCTTTCTGTGAAAAAAAACTTCCTAATGTCCAGTCTAATCCTCCCCTGTTACAGCTTGAAGCCATTCATTCTTGTGCTATTGCTAATTACCTGTGAAAAGAGACCAGCACCAACCTCTCTACAATGACCTTTCAGGTAGTTGTAGAGACTGATGAGGTCTTCTCTCAGCCTTCTCTTCTTCAAAGTAAACATTCCCAGCTCCTTCAGGCGTTCTTTGTATTTTCTAGGCCCTTCACCAGCTTTGTTGCTCTCCTCTGTACTCGCTCCAGCACCTCAATATCTCTCTTGAATGGAAGTGCCCAAAACTGGACACAATACTCCAGGTGTGGCCTCACCAGTGCTGAGTACAGGGGGAAAATCACACCTCTAAGTCTGCTGGTCACATTATTTCTAATACAAGCCAGGATGCCATTGGCTTTCTTGGCCACCTGGGCACACTGCTGGCTCATATTCAGCCCCTTGTCACTTAGAACCCCCAGATCCTTTTCTGCCAGACACTTTCCAGCCACACTTCCCCAAGCCTGCAGTGTTGCCTGGAGTTGTTGTGGCCCAAGTACAGGACCCAGCACTTGGCCTTGTTGAAGTTAAACAGAAACGGTCCCAACACTGAGCCCTGAGGAACACCACTTGTGACTGGCCCCAGCTGGATTTGACTCCATTGACCACCACTCTTTGGACCCGACTGTCCAGCCAGTGCTTGGTCCAACAGATCGTGTGCTCATCCAGGCCATGAGCAGCCAGGTTGTTTTATGAGAGTTCAATGAGCAACTCTTTTGTTACAGTTGGGGAAATGAAAGAAAAATACACAACACAACAAAATTTGTCAATCAAGCCATTAATTCTTGCAAGCTTTTTTGAAGTTTTATATGAAGAACTTTTCTCATCTTGAGCTGTCAGGTTTTTTTTCTGTAACTGCTTGGTAATTTAAATTCCTTAAATAAGTGAGTAATAAATAGTAATAAATTTATTACTATTCTCAGTGACATAAGATCCAAGATCTAGTTTCACTGGATCTCAGTCTCTAATTCTGGAATCAAATCCCACTTAGTTTGCCAGTTGTTCAGCA